TTTTTTTTCTTTATCACCTTGTCTAGAAAAAGTGAAGGATTTGACTCTGTTGCGAAGATGATAGGTGAACTATATTTTGAAGGGGAGAGAGGCACCAAACCACTTAAAATCTCCTGTTCCATGCCCTAAAACATGAGAAGTTGTTCTGTCTCATTAGAAGATCTATTACTTTAAAGGGATAGTGAAATTAAATCCTGCTTTAGAAAAGTTGTAGACCACCACAAAATAGTTGCACTGATTTTCAAATAGACAATCAAAAATAGGTTCCCTTCAGCTTTGAGTGCCAGAGATAGCAATGAAACTAATCAAACCTAGTTAGAAAATGGAATCTACCTTTCAGGCAGCATTGTATAAAATAAATGAAAAAGAAGGTGTAGACATTTAAAATGAGAAAAAGGTAGACTAAGTAGCTTTTTGAAAAGCTCACTAACTTACATTCCGATATCATAATTTTATAGCACTTGCTTCTTTATTTCCGCTTTATTCAATATGGGTGATAAAGTGGGATAACTGATTCAAGATTTGGTTGGAATAGAGGGGCTGGATGTTTGAGGTTCTCTCTTAACCCTCTATCTTGAGCTGACTTGCCTAAAGGGGGAAAGAGCCAGAGAAAATAAAGGGAGACCTTCCCCTTCCCCTTTCCCTCCCTTCCCCCTCGAGTTCAAGTCTTGTATTCCCTGGATTTATTTTCCAAGATTGATCCTTTCCAATGCGATAACTGAAGAGAGTGCCTCTAGGGAAAATTTTTATAATAAGGCCTTTTTTTAGTATCGTACCTTAGACGATGTGGATTTTGACTTTTTCTTTTCTTTTTCTTTTCTTCATTTCAGTTTATGTCATGTTCTTCTTCTGTGCTTAAGTATACATATGACTGGGAACGTAGTTAAGTGTATATGTGCGCATTTATTGTCAGGATTCAAACACAAATCAGGCATCAGCAGCTTCCAGTGTTCAAATGTCTGGCAGATTTGTTCATGACGTGATACTGAAACTTTTTCTTCCTTTTTTCTCCAGGTTTAGAAATGCAATGTTGAAAAGTATCTGTGAAGTTCTTGATTTGGAGAGGTCAGGAGTTAACAGTGAGCTGGTAACCAGAATCTTAAACTTTTTAATGCACCCAAAGTCTTCAGGCAAGGTGAGATGCAAGCTACATTCATTTTTATATCTCTGTTCTGGTGGAAATGCAGCTGTCTATATTCCTTCTTACTCTTCTGTTTGTTACCAGTGATGATACAATTACTCTTATAACCTACCAAATTAGCAGTGGCCTCTTCAAAAAGAGCAGCTCTTGAAAGAGAGCAGCAGGCATTGTTGGTGGAATCTGCTGTAGCTTGCTATATCTCTTAAGGGTGAGGACTTTGATAGAAACTGTATGTTTACATGTAAGAGCACCCATGGTACGCTGTTGGTACACAAAAACATATGTAGTCAATTCATGAAGCTGATTGGAGGTGTAAGTATCTTCTACTTTGTGGGTGAATAGAGGAGGCTAGGCATAATATGTGGACAGGAAAGAAGTAAGGTGTCAGAGCAAGGGAATAAAACACGAAAGTACAGAAAAAAGCTTTCAAATATATACGGGCATGCTATAAGTTAACAAGCGTATGTGATTGCATGTGGTCATTACAGAATGAAATTTGTTACAAGGCTGCAAAAATTTGCTTTATCTTTAGTGTATGCTAGTGCACTAGGTCCAGATGCAAAGATTACATAACTATATTAATAATCTCCTGGGACTGTCAACTTTTCAATATAAAAGCAATACTTAAATAGTCAGACTGCTGTTCAGCAGATTAAATGTATTTCCAGGAAATTTTGGTAAGTAACATGAACGAAAGGTCTGCATGCTGCCTTTAGGACACTGGTAATGAGCAATAACAGAATGCAATTTTGCATAATAAATAGCAGAATTTCTGCCTGTAAAACTTCTGAAGACTTGTCAGCTAATTTGTTGCCAGGATGGAAAGCTTGCTTTCATGGGTTGAGAAGATGGAGGTAGATAGGTAGTTCTTTCTGGCTGGTTCTTTCTTACCTCCCTACCCTAACCCCCAGCCTTGGAAGATTTGTTGGGTTATGGAAGCTAGAGAGGTGCTTAGCTTAGAATTGAATTTAGATTTCAGTTTAGTCTCTTCCTTGTCTGTGCTATAAATTTCTGCTTACCACAATATGTTGTGGCCTAACAGTAGTAGATACAATTATTCTGATACTTGGAGGCATTCATCTTTTTTATTATTATTTCACAAGATTTGTTTTATGTTTTCTAAATTCACTGTTGTATTCTTATTTGAAAACATACATCCCTGTCTCTCAGCCATTGCCGAAGTCCAAAAAAACACCAAGCAAAGGTGGCAAAAAAGAGCGTAGTAGCACCGGAACAACAAGAAAAGCAAAACGCACCAAATGTCCTGAGATCTTGTCAGATGAATCTAGCAGTGAGGAAGATGAAAAGAAGGAAAAGGATGACTCTTCAGAAGAAAAGGAAAGTGAAGAGGAGGTAAGCATTTTTTGTTTGTTTTCATCATACGGCTAAAAACGTTTGTCTGTAGTTTGTAACTATGTGATAATTATTGATTGGTAGTTCTTGGAACGCACAAAGTTGGGAGATAAATGATATTTAACTGAATGGATGATTTGAAAGAAAAATGTTGAAAAGAGAGGGCATCTTCAACTTCTGAGAGATTATCTTAGGCTCTTAGTATATTGAAATTAGAGAATCAATAAGGTAAGAGGCAAAGGTTCTGATTTTCAATTTGTATATGAACCTTATAAAACCACTTAATGTATGTCACTGACAGCCAAGATTTCAAAAGTAACCCATTGTATTTCTTGCATAGTAAGAGAGAGATGAAATGACCTTTGTTTTTTAAATCCAAAATACCTTTCCTTGTGCATTCCTCTACAATACTGTACTTATTCATAGAAGGTACACAAAACATGGAGTGCCAGTACAACTGTACAGGCAACACTGGTATGTCTGTATATCTTGAGTCCTGAAAAAAAGAAATGAGAAAGAGCTACAGGCTGCATCTTACCCCATATTTTGATTTAGATAGGGCTGCCTTAATTGAAGCCCTGTGACAAAAAGCAATTAGTGAACTGGTATCAAAGGAAGTGCTTTATGTAAGCTACAGAAATTTTGACTGTAAACTGACCATTATTTACTTGGGTTATATTCCATCTGTTGCAGTGGAAGTGTGACAGGCTAGTAAGTAAATAGTCTGAGCTAGTAGTAACAAATTTCTGTGGGAAAGCAAATTTATGTAAACTTCACTGTTTATGGAAACACTGTCATTTTTGACAGGTGTTGATTTTAATGTAAAAGGTGAATGCAAGGAAATTCCCCAAGCCTCCACGAAACAAACTTAATTCTCAGTTTGCTTCCCACATTCTCTCCCCCCCCTCCCCCAATGGCAAATTGAAAGAGGGCTGAAATACTAAATTTTGTTTATCCCTTCACTGGTACAATGTTTCTTCTGTAAGGAGAGATTGGCTTTCAGAGGCAGGAGTCATCTTTAGAAAGTTTTTCAAGAATTCAAGCTGTCTGTTTAAAAAAATTTACCGAACTGTTCTGTGTGTGTGTGAGATGTGGCTTTTTTTTTTTTTCCTTCTTGCAAAAAGTAGGAGTTATATCGGTCTGTCAGGCAATAGCTGAATACACTGAAATTCTTGGAAATTGAAACTGGCTTACATAGAGTAAAGGTTTTATTATTAATAAAACATTAATATGTCAAATTAGTTCAAATACAGGAAATGGTGAGTGGGAAAGTTTTTACCTTTGTACAGCTCTGAAATGGCAGCATTAAAAAAAAAAAATCAGGTTTCTAATACCCTTAGCATAATGCGGGTGGAAGGAAGTGCATCTGCCTTGTTGTCCCAGGCCCATTGGAACCTTGGGTATGGAGTGGCTGGAATAGATTGTCCTCAGAGTTATATGCCTCTCTTGATTGAAGTTCTTGTTTTTTTTTTTTTAAAAAAGAATTTTTAAAAACTTGATTGTTTGCTTATCTGGAAGCAAAAAATATCTAATTTAGTTTTATGTACTGAGAGAACATAATTTTGTAAAAGCTCAAAGGGAAATGCCAGGTTAAATTTCTAACTTTATAGCTAAATATGTCTATTTAAAAATGGGATGATCCTTGGATATGTTCTCTGATTTTCAACAGTGAGGATCTCAATCCTTCAATTAGCTGCACTTGCTCTGCAGTGCTATTTAGGCAAATGTACTCTAGTTTATTAAGTTCTAATTTCATGTGTCGCAGCAGGTGCAGCTGAGAGAAGCAGTTAAGGCTAACATGAGCTAATCTTAATATGTTTAGATGTCTTATTGTTTGCTTAGTTGACCACGCTGCTATTTCAAATACAAATTAGATTATTGATTTAGTAACTACTGATAGTTAATTTGTTTCCTTTCATATTGTTTGTTCTTCCAAGTATGATTTACTCCTGGTCAATATAAAAGTTTTGTGTCTGTTTCTCTGAGGGAAGTTTTCAGACTCTGTGTGTTAACTGTAAATTTAATTTGCAAAAAAAATGCATTATGGTGATACGTATATGCCATATGTATTAATGTTCCCAGTTCCTTCCGTTGATGTTAACTTAACGCAATGACCTTTGGGTTTATTAGCCACAATAATTGGCTAAATTATGGTTTGGTCTATGTAGTTATTCTCAGTTAGTGCGAGAAGAATTAGCTGTATGTGGTCTTTGAGAGCTACAGCATCTAGAAATTAAGATAAGTAACCGACCCCAACATGTTGTGTTCTTTTTTTTTTTTTTTCCCCAAGAGGAACTTCTTTGGAGTAATCTTAAGAGGTTCAGAACTAATTATGAATGGGAAGTTGTAGCACAGTCTAGAACTTCTTGATGATATTAGCAATTAGCTGTTGGAGCTTAAGAGTCTCTATAGCAGGACAATACAAAATTTAAAATAATATAGAAATAATCTTGGCAGTCATATTCTACGTATGGTATAAAACTTGAAATTGTCAGTAAAACATTGTAGTTAAATTTGTTGATTCAGTTTGTGTTGACAGTAAAGATGGTTTTCATTCTTGAAAAGAGGTGTATGGATTGTTCAAGTTGAAAACAGCATTTTAATATTCCATTTTTCTTTACAGCCCCCTAGGAAAGCATCTAAAAGAGAAAAATCTAAAAAGATGCCTTCTAAAACCAAGAAAGCTGCGAAGGGTGCTAATGTTAAGAAGGCAGATAGCAGCACTACTAAAAAGAGTCAGAACAGTTCTAGAAAAGGTAAATGCTTTAAATTTTTTTACCATGCACTGTCTTGTAGCTTAACCTGGATGCTTATTAGAAAGCAAGCTTTTGCACTTAACTGTGAAGTAAAACACAATCTGCTGAATTGCTGGCTTGCTACTCGTGGTTTCTTTCCTTGCAACAGTGATAAACAACATAAAGAATACACAAAACCAAAAAGAAACAGTGTATGCTCTGTGTGTGTGTGTACACTTTTTTTTTGGTATACATATATATGTGTACACAAACACACAATATCAGCTTGGTACTTCCTTCTGCTGGAAGAATGTTAGTAAATGTATGGTGGTACCTCAGTAGTGACTTTATTTTTATGAATCTTAATCCAACGTGTGTGTCTATGTACAGGAGCTTGATGTGTTTTTGTTAGCATAGAAATGGGTTTTACATGAGGAAACAAAAGAGCAACAGGATGCATATGTGAGGATGCAGAAGGCAGGACATTCAGTCCCTTAATACCTCTGTGGAACATGGCAGTGCAGGCAGGGACAGACTGATTCCAAAGCAGCTTTGCTCCCCCTGGGTGGAGGGGGATTCTCATGGACAGTAAGTTGAACCCAAGTCAGCAAGCAGTGTACCCTTGTGGCAAGGAATGCCAACAGCACTCTGGGCTGTTTTAGCAAGTGTGTAGCCAGCGGGCTGAGGCAAGTGATTGTTTGCACCCTCTATCAGCACTGGTGAGACTGCAGGGCCAGTGCTGTCTCCAGCTTTGTGCTCCCCAGTGCAAGACAGACACTGACACACTGGAGCAAGTCCAGTTGAGGGGCCACCAGGATGGTCAGGGGCTGAGGCTGAGAGAGCTGGGTTTGTTCAGCCTTAGGAAGAGATGGCAACAAGAAGCTCTTACTGCTGTCTGCAGCAACCTAGTGAGAGAGCATGGGGCCCCCCAAGAGGAACTTCTTTGGAGTAATCTTAAGAGGTTCAGAACTAATTATGAATGGGAAGTTGTAGCACAGTCTAGAACTTCTTGATGATATTAGCAATTAGCTGTTGGAGCTTAAGAGTCTCTATAGCAGGACAATACAAAATTTAAAATAATATAGAAATAATCTTTGCAGTCATATTCTACGTATGGTATAAAACTTGAAATTGTCAGTAAAACATTGTAGTTAAATTTGTTGATTCAGTTTGTGTTGACAGTAAAGATGGTTTTCATTCTTGAAAAGAGGTGTATGGATTGTTCAAGTTGAAAACAGCATTTTAATATTCCATTTTTCTTTACAGCCCCCTAGGAAAGCATCTAAAAGAGAAAAATCTAAAAAGATGCCTTCTAAAACCAAGAAAGCTGCGAAGGGTGCTAATGTTAAGAAGGCAGATAGCAGCACTACTAAAAAGAGTCAGAACAGTTCTAGAAAAGGTAAATGCTTTAAATTTTTTTACCATGCACTGTCTTGTAGCTTAACCTGGATGCTTATTAGAAAGCAAGCTTTTGCACTTAACTGTGAAGTAAAACACAATCTGCTGAATTGCTGGCTTGCTACTCGTGGTTTCTTTCCTTGCAACAGTGATAAACAACATAAAGAATACACAAAACCAAAAAGAAACAGTGTATGCTCTGTGTGTGTGTGTACACTTTTTTTTTGGTATACATATATATGTGTACACAAACACACAATATCAGCTTGGTACTTCCTTCTGCTGGAAGAATGTTAGTAAATGTATGGTGGTACCTCAGTAGTGACTTTATTTTTATGAATCTTAATCCAACGTGTGTGTCTATGTACAGGAGCTTGATGTGTTTTTGTTAGCATAGAAATGGGTTTTACATGAGGAAACAAAAGAGCAACAGGATGCATATGTGAGGATGCAGAAGGCAGGACATTCAGTCCCTTAATACCTCTGTGGAACATGGCAGTGCAGGCAGGGACAGACTGATTCCAAAGCAGCTTTGCTCCCCCTGGGTGGAGGGGGATTCTCATGGACAGTAAGTTGAACCCAAGTCAGCAAGCAGTGTACCCTTGTGGCAAGGAATGCCAACAGCGCTCTGGGCTGTTTTAGCAAGTGTGTAGCCAGCGGGCTGAGGCAAGTGATTGTTTGCACCCTCTATCAGCACTGGTGAGACTGCAGGGCCAGTGCTGTCTCCAGCTTTGTGCTCCCCAGTGCAAGACAGACACTGACACACTGGAGCAAGTCCAGTTGAGGGGCCACCAGGATGGTCAGGGGCTGAGGCTGAGAGAGCTGGGTTTGTTCAGCCTTAGGAAGAGATGGCAACAAGAAGCTCTTACTGCTGTCTGCAGCAACCTAGTGAGAGAGCATGGGGCAGAGAGAGCCAGGCTTGTCTTGGAGGTGCACAGGGATAGATAGGATGGGAGGCAACACAGACAAGTCGCAGCAAGGAAAATTCCAGCTCAGTATTAGACAAAAAAAAGTTCCGCCATGAGGGCAATCGCACTGGAAGAGGGGCCCAGGGTGGTTGTGGCATCCTCGCCTTGGGGATGTTCAGAACTTAGCTTGGCAGGGCCCTGAGCTGCCTGCTCTCCATTGGCCCACCTCTGAGTAGAGGCTTGGACCACCTGATCTACAGAGGTCCTTTCCAACCTAAATGCTGTGACAGTGTGAGATAACAGGAATGTTGCTGTCACAACTGTGGTAGGAGTTATTTATGCAACATTATCCTCACTGCAGTCGTAGTTGATTTAATGTCAACACCAGCATATATGTACCATAGCAGAGACATCAATGCAAGGTATTAACAAAAGGAACAGTTAAACTCTTGAGTCATAGGATTATGCCAAACTTCTCTCCTAGTCTTATTCTAAGCAGAATAAACTAGTCTTGTGCTGAACTCGGTGTATCTTCAGTTCGGCTGCTGGCAGTACTAATGTGGCTGACTCTGTACGTGTGCGCCTTATTCTGTCATCGCAGCATAGATGTTTCTTTTTCAGTGCTACTGCATTTCTGTAATGCATATGTGTTTGTGGTACAAAAATCAAAATGTTAAGTTGATCTTTCTGTAGGCTCATTATCTAAATTACTGTGTTTCTGCTATGAGTCTCTTTTTTGTTCGGAGGGAAGGAACTGAGTGGATGTTTGAGTCATTCTGTAGTGATTCCACGTTACTTCTTCTATGATACTCTTCATTTGTTGTCACGGTGTCTCTGATGGCATGTTCTGTGATATGGCATTACGAAATTACAAGACCTTAATGCAAAGCACTGCTAGGGGGAAAAAAAAATACAGCCAAACTCCTTTATAAAAGCACAAACATGCGTCTTTTTAGGGCCATAATGCTTCAATTTAGAGTTGCTGTAATAAGCCTTTCTTTAGTCTGATGAATTGAATCTGTCCCATACTTTCTAGAGTACATGTTGATTTGTAACCTGATAGATTGTCAGCAACTATATCGCTTTGTAAATAAATGCTATACTGACAGCATTAGATTTGTTTATAAATCGATGGTCTGGCAAAATACCCATTTTAAGGGAGACTGAATCAGATATTTGGGGAAAATTCTGGTGGCTTCTGTTCTGGAGGAAGAAAGGCAAATTTTATTTATTACAATTCAAATTATTCATCATATTTAGAGAGCGAGTCTGAGGATAGTTCAGATGATGAACCTTTAATTAAAAAGTTGAAGAAACCACCTACAGATGAAGAGCTTAAGGAAACTGTCAAGAAGTTGTTGGCCAATGCAAACTTGGAGGAGGTCACAATGAAACAAATCTGCAAGGAGGTAAGCAAATGTAACTTTGTAGTATCTCTTTTTAGGCAGTTGGTTGCTTATGAACTGACTCTTGTCACCTTGTTTCATAAATTAAAGCTTGCATTCTGCACAATGTTTCAGAAACCAAAGCAGTTTTGCGTTGATTTATTTGCTTGCCAACAGTGGTAAGAAGGAGAGCTCTAATCTTAATGTATAGAACACTGAATCTGCTCAGCATTGGAAGGGGAATCAGAAAAATGAGTTAAATGGAAAGTGGCAGTATTACCTCCAAAACAACAGCCATGTATTAAAGTGGAAAATATGAGAGACATTGAGCCAGTGCAGCAGCTTGCTACTACCAAAAGGGGAGGTGTGTGTCCTGCTCTCTGAGGCACATTTCTCCTGCTGGCCTTGCTGTCGGTCTTCATATAGCCTCTTCACAAATCCTTTCAACTCTCATCTACTAGCAAAAAATGAATAGTTCTCAGTTAAGTTAGTGAGTTGAATCAGTTCAGCAAAGAATCCATTGAGTGCCAGGACAAGCCCAGGAAGGGATCAGAACCGTGTGGCCAGATCAAAACACAATGATACTGTTACCTTGACCTTTTTTACAGTCAGTTAACTCATATGTTTATTTTCCTGGTATTTCCAATAAGTTGTCTTGCAAAAATAACAGTGAAAGTTATTCTTATGAGAAAACTATGTTTATAATCTGTATAAATTCTACCTGTCATGTCCACAGTCCTTTTAGGAATCCTGAAATTTGGTATACTGAAATAAAATTTTTTACATTGGTTGTCAGTGTTAGCATCTGGTTTCTTTTTCCCCAGTTATCCAAGTAGTAGTTGTATAATAGTACTCAAATAAGTTGACTTTTACATTACTGACCTGGAGAATTACAATTTTACTTATTACCAAAAAATAAATAGGCTCTGGGGCTTGATATTTGTTTAGCTTCCCACATGAATGCAGAGGGTGCCTGACTCCTTAGAAAGCATGTAAAGCAAACATTGGAAAACTCTTATTTGGCTGACATGGCAAACTAGGCATCCCTTTTTTTGGATGTGAAAACCGGATAGCACCAGTTTAGTATGTGAACAAACAAAAAAATCTGTGTGTTTTAATACTTATGTGGTCAAAATAAGTGGAGGGAAATGTTTGTCGCTTTCCATAATTAACAGCTGTATGCAACTGGTAATACTAGAAGCACCACCACACTTTCTGCCCTAATTTCATTTAAGCTCCTTCTATTCACGCAGTGTATTGAATCAAAGTAACTTGAGGTTATATCTTTTATTCTTGGCTTTTAGGTGTATGAAAGCTATCCTAGTTATGATTTATCTGACAGGAAAGACTTCATTAAAAAAACAGTCAAAGAGGTAAAGACTTTATCATTTATAATTTCTGTATTTTTTCTCAGCCTATTGAAAATTGGCATACTGTTACATTAGTTTTAAAAGCCTGCTTTGTAGTCATGGTTGTATCCTAAACTTTAGTCTTCTGATAAAGTTCAATTCTACCTCTGTTTTTTTGTGTTCCCCTTCCTAAAACAACTGGTCCAGACCTCTTTTTTTTTCCAAGAGTGCTATTTCTGAGCTTCTTTAGTAAGAAGAACTAGAAAGCTATCATAATTTTGATGAATTTAACATTTTTATTTCTGAAAGCTATGCTTTTTTTAACGACAGCCTTGGCTGCAAGTTGCCCTGAAATCCATGCACTGACCGCATACGTACGTAGGTAACAATGCAGGAGTTTATGTAAGCTCGGCAGAGCTGCAACCTCTAGCAGTGGGAGAACGCCTAAGAGGCTAGAGATAGGAGCACATACAGAGAAAAGCCTCTATCATCTCGCTCCTGATACCACAGTTATGATGCTGCCTGTGAGTTTGCTGCACTGAAGATTAAGCCTTACCCGATGTACTCATGACAAAGGGTGTATTGTCCAGTCTGTGGTTGGTAACTTAGAAGCAAAAACTCAAGTACGACTATTTGTTTGCCCCAAGACTAGAAATTGAACTGAAGAACTGAAGTTGATTTAGTAAAGTTAAAGTAACTTTTCTTTCTTACTTGTAGTTTCATTTGCAGGCATTGAAATGATGCATGGTTATCTGGAAACAGTTATATGTCTGTCTGTGCTGTACATACACGTGTCATTATCAGCAAAGGAATAAGAGTACAGTCTGTCTGCTACAGGGATGTTTTTGTTGTTTTGTGATAGCAAAAAGTAGTATGCGTGTTCTTGATAGTCTGACGCTAAAAGAGAGGCAATAAGTAATTGAACTGACAGAAAGGAGAAAACTAATACAATTCTCATTTCAGTTGATTTCATGACCTGATTTGACTGTGGGAAATGAAGATTCCTGATTTTATGTTCCCATGGATTTGAAGATTTGATAGGCACCAGCAAAAGGAATGTTTCTTACCCTTGTGGTATTTAGTCAGAACTGGTTCTGCTGATAAAACGTCAAGAGTGTTGATGTAAATTGCTTTGTGTATCTTTTAAAAAAAATAATAAAAACTGCATTTGATGCAGTTTTTAGTTAAACCTACTTAAGTTTTGTGCATGGCAATAAATGTTCCCTTTTTTATAGTTTTTGTACATTTTGAATTGCTTTGTATAACTAGATTCACTAGACACATCATAGCTTTTTAGTGTGTATTACTAGCTTGCAGAAGGAGATTTTAAAATCAAGTAGGATGAAAACTGCTTATCTGCACATATACATGCAGAGACTGGAATATTGCAGTATTGGTTATGAAAACTATTTTGAATACATATTCATTCTAGAAATAACGGGAGTTAGTCACACGTTAATGTCTTTTATATTCGGATACATTCTACAGATGCAGAATTATTCTAAATCTAGATTACTGTCTTGCATGTGTAGGCCCTGTGAGAACTGTCAAAGCATGGTAGCTAATTGGCATATAGATGTTATTTTTGTACTTTTAAAAGGCTTTCTGTTGTGTATATAAAGTTCTTTCAGATTTCTTTTGTGCAAATCAGTTTTTTAATCTTGTTATCTTAGAGGATTTATGACATGAAATGTCAGTGTTCAGCAGTGAGGCTGTGAAAAGTGGAATACAGAAGTTTCATGAAGACTATACAAGAGTTGAGGTTTTACTACTTGTTTGTCCCATCTTACCTTGTACAGAAACTAAACTGTAGTTTTATACTTAAACTTTTCAGTGTTAAACTTTGTACAAAAGACTGCAGATGCATTTGTTTCAATGGCTTGACCTAGCAAATAAAACTCCTCTAAAGGCTATAGGAAAATTTTCAAATTTTACTTTGAAAAAAATCTTGTATTTCAGTGTCTTGACTTGATGGCCAAATTTCTTAGAAGAGGGTGTCCAAGATGTACATCTAGGAGGCTTGATAGCTTTGGAAGTCCATACTGGGGCCTCCAAATCAGGCAGCACTGAAGGCTGTGGCTAGGCTCTACTTTGTATGGGAATGCTCTTTTGAACCATGGTGCCTCAACATGGGCAATGGTACTTTAAGCCTGTAGTTTTGAACTTTGGCCCACAGCTTTTTGGATCAAAAGAAACACTTTGTATAAAGTTTTGTTCTTGTTTAGGTTTCTGTTCTCCATTCACCTGGTTGCTAGCATGGGACATCCTACACTTAAATTATGAACTGCTAACAGATGCCAAAGTGTGGGCTGCCATTAATGCCATGAGCAATGAATCCCTCTGTAGTATTGCTAGAAAAACAAAGCATATTTTTTTAAATCTTATTATTGTACATTTGAAAAACCAGAGTTCATAAGTGATCTAAATTCTGAAAATGTTCAGCCAGACTATTATTCTTCACACATTTTTCTAATTTCTTTGAGTATAATCATTTATAATGAGGCTGGATGTAACAAGATTTTTTTTGTATTCAATAAATGTCTTTCACAAAAATGTAAATCAGTTTTGATGATTTAACATTTGCTTACATGCATAGTAAAAAATTATTCAGAAACAAGGATTGTGTCTTTATCTCGTCTGGAGGAAGCTATTCAAGTCTAATTCATCAGGCTTCTCTACCTCTGAGTTTTTGCTGAAATGCATGTCCTTGCACCAAGGTATGATTTGTGTCTTCTCTGCCTTTTTTTCTCTTTTTTTAATACTAAAATAGTTCAGAGAATAACTTCATAAATGGCATTTAAAAACATTGAAAGGTCCCACGTCCTGCTTAAAAGCAGCAAGTTTCTTGTGTCAAGTCTTGTTGGATTTTCAGTTGGATCTTCTACAAAAAATGTAACTGCCTTGTGTTTTGTTTTTTTTTTTTTTTTAATGTAAATACATCATTCAGTTTTAACTATGTGAGTCAGGAACTGCTTTTAAGATTAGTGGTTTTCACACATTAGAATTTTCACTACAAAAAAATGTTTATGAGAACTGTTACAGTGGGATAATGTGCATCTATCTATTCATTGTATGTATGTATTACTTGCAACTTTGAATTTCCCTGATGGAATATAAATTAACTTAGCGTCTTTCAAATACTTTGTTTAAATCTCTTAACTATAACTAAGTATAGTCCTCAACTGAGAAGAAACATCGAAAGTAAGCTGTTGCTCTGCTAATGTATGCCACTCTGGCCACAGCTGATACATTCCAGTTCTTTCTACAACTCGGGGGAAGGTTGCAAGACAATACTTGAAGGTAAATAAAATGGTTTATCCTGATGCTACTGGATTTTTAAAAAACAGCTGATCAGTACTCTTAAGTCCTATACAGAGATACTCATAGAAATGGAAACTATCTAATTATATAAAAGGTAACTGAATGAAGTCTTAAGCTGTACACCTTAAAAAAGCTCATGTTCTGACCATAATATTCTGGAGAAATCATTCTAATATCTTGATTCCTTAAACACTCTTACAGAATTATTCCTATGGTTCAGTATGTTTGTTCTTCTGTTCAGTTAAGACCTTGTTATTCAGTATTCTGGACAGTGACCTGCAAAAACACGTATGCAAAAAACACGTATGCAAAAAAACCTGAATGACTTATATATAACAATTTTTTGTGTGTTTTTTTGTTTTCTTTTTTTAAATCAGTGAGCTCAGCTCTTGAGTATATGGGCCCTGGGAACATGGAGGGCTAGATGGGGAAAGGGAAGAGTAGAAATTTGGAGTAAAGAGAAGTTAGATGTCTTCAAGCTAGCAGCTGAAAACTGGAGTCATACATTAACTCATGGTATATTGCTCAGGTATGTCTTGGTTAGTTTGGTAAGTTTGGAAGATACATCTGTAAGTACTATTTAAGTTTTATACTAATAGCCTGCTTGGACCTGAACTGGCTCTTGGTAGCATCCAGCTTCTTTCTGCATTATCCTGTTACAAGGCACATGACAAAGCGAGACCTATGAATGGTTGGGTTTGGATTATCCAGCACTAAGCTTGACTTAAAAATAAACCTTTGGGGGGCTCAGTGCTCTTCTGGTCAAATAATGTCCCTGGCAGTCAGCACTGTGAATCCTATAAGGCTTACTGGCTCTGTTGCCATTTTAGAGACTGGGTATCTCATGACTGTTTGGGTAGGTCTATTTTTTTCTTGTTTCCAAATAAGAATGTTGACTGTAATCAAGTACCTTATGCTGAGCTAAATGAAAGCATTCCTGGAATGACTTTTTATTTTAAAAAAAAAAAAAGTTTCAGTTTTCATCTTTTAGGGAGAACAGTGGAAAGGCTAGAAGACAGCTGCCTGCTCTCCACTGGCCCTTTCTGTGGGCAGTGACTTGGACCACCTGATCTACAGAGGTCCCTTCCAACCTAAATTAAGACTGATTCCCAAAGAATTGGTAGAAACTTTCCCATTTAATATTGATAAATTCACTATTTCAACAGCTTACCAATAAAAGTGTAATTTATGCATTGCTTTGAAACTTTTAATGGCTGCAGGATAGTGGAGTCAGAGCAATAGGCTCATAAGGGTAGTGCCTGGTGAAATTCAGAGGTTCATGTTAGGCCAAACCAGTCTCAGCGAGCATAATGATCTTTGACTAATTTATGAAGAGCCACCTTATCAAAAAAAGCCTTATCTCAAGAAGCAAACTTTGTAAAAAAAATCTACCCTTCTTGCAGGTATTAAGATGGCAGTCTTCCCACACTTGCCTTGCCCTTCTAGTAGGATTTTCTCACTGGACTGCAGTCATTTCTGGACTTACTGCTTCATGTTCCTTTCTGAACTAAGTTTTAGACAGCTGAGCTAACAGGAAAAAAATTCCATTGTACTAACTTTTTTTTTTTTTAGGGTAGTGCAGAGAGGTCTACTAATCCGTACCTTATTTTAATTAGCAGTATTAAGGTTATTCTTTCACTTCCATCTTAAAGACTGTGTCATTGTTAGAATTAAATGTTACCATTTTTCAAGACCAGTGTCAGTGTAATTAAAATCATTTCCTCTAGGGAGTTAATATTAGGAAAAAAAAAAACAGGTCTCTAGAATATATACTTTTTAAATTCCTAAGGAAGTGTGCCAGGACAAGGGGAAAGTAGTGAATCTTCCTGCTGTGTAGAAATGCTTTCACTGTTTTGGAGCTGCAAGTGTTGCTCATTTGAAACAAATTTTGGAAAGGGAAAGGATATTTTTAGTTGCCTGTAGTCAAGTATACACCAAATGTGTAATCATCATTTGGCAAGAACAGGGTAGGCTGCAGTATTATCAGAACTGCTCTGTTTGTATTTTACAGAATCACAGAATGGTTGAGGTTGGAAGGAACCTCTGGAGATCATCTAGTCCAACCCCCCTGCTCAAGCAGGCTCCTCTAGAGCACATTGCACAGGATCACATCCAGACGGGTTTTGAATATCTCCAGGGAAGGAGACTCCACTACCTCTCTGGGCAACCTGTTCCAATGCTCTGTCACCCTCACAGTGAAGAAGTTTTTCCTCAGGTTTAGATGGAGCTGCCTGTGTTTCAGTTTCTGCCCGTTGCCTCTTGTCCTGTCACTGGGCACCACGGAGAAGAGACTGGCCCCATCCTCTTGACACCCTCCCTTCAGATACTTGTATGCATTGATGAGATCCTCTCTCAGTCTGCTCTTCTCCAGGCTGAACAGGCCCAGCTCTCGCAGCCTTTCTTCAGAGGAGAGATGCTCCAGTCCCCTCATCATCTTTGTAGCCCTCTGCTGGACTTACTCTGGGAGATCCATGTCTCTCTTGTACTGGGGAGGCCAGAACTGGACACGGTACTCCAGGTGAGGCCTCACCAGGGCTGAGGAGAGGGGCAGGATCACCTCCCTCAACCTGCTGGCAACACTCTGCCTAATGCAGCCCAGGATCCCATTGGCCTTCTTGGCCACAAGGGCACATTGCTGGCTCATGCTTAACTTGTCCACCAGGACTCCCAGGTCCTTCTCGGCAGAGCTGCTTTCCAGCAGGTCAACCCCTGGCCTGTACTGGTGCATGGGGTTATTCCTCCCGAGGTGCAGGACCCTGCACTTGCCTTGGTTGAACTTCAGGAGGTTCCTCTCTGCCCAGCTCTCCAGCCTGTCCAGGTCCCTCTGGATGGCAGCACAGCCTTCTGGGGTGTCAGCCACTCCCCCCAGTTTAGTATCAGCACACTGTGCCTTCATCCAGGTCATCAATGTACATACACTGATTAAGACTGGCTCTAGTACTGACCCCTGGGGGACACCACTAGCTACAGGCCTCCAACTTGACTCTGCACCATTTACCACAACCCTCTGAGGTTTTAGAGGTTTGGGGTATACATACACCTGTGCTCACAGTGATCAGAGCTAGTAGGAATCTTCCAGGATCATGACCTTAAAAAGTGTTCATGCTAGAGTTATTCAGTGAAAAGCATTAATGGTCTGTCTCTAGTGATTATCCAGCTATTTTAAGATTATGGGCAGTGCCTCTAGGGAGTTATCATTTTACCTTGCCTTTCCAATTGGTAAGGAAAACAATCTGATACAATCTTACAAATGCTTTGTAAACCTTTGAGACAGAAGAGACTGACTCTGTATTATGGTATTGGCCAAGTAATAGCAAAGTTGATACTTACAGCTCCTTACTACTACACAAAGGTGTAGGTTTAGCCATTAGTTAGATTTCAATAATAATAATAATACCATGAGGATCCTGAGTATACTTTCCAGTTTTATTCTGCTGCAATAGCATAGTCACAAAGAAGAGTTGAAGTGTAACAGATCATGCTCTGCATTCAAGTATTTTTGATAACATTTAAACAAATCTACTCAAAGAAAACATTCCCCAGTTCTTTATTTTCAGGGAATAAATTATACACAAAAGTAAAAACACATACATGCTTGAAATAAAATTTGACATAGGTACTTAAAAAAATTTCGGAATATTAATTAAGAATGAAGTCTCAGAACCAGCCTGATGTTCTTACACATTTTAAATGAATGTATATTAAAATGGAACATACTTGTTTTATTTACTCCCCAAACTTAAGTGCAGCACAATACAGTTTAAGTGCCTTCGCACCAAAATAATATACAAATATTTAATAGACTAGATCATTGGTATAAATTTATCATTTATCTTTTTTTTTTAGTGCTATAAGAAGTATGCAGCAGCTAAAGCCAAATATGACAGAATATTTGTTCATGTCCATCTCTATTCTTTAGAGTATAGCATTTATCTACCTGGTAAGTTGCAGACAAATATAAATCCCAAAGTACAAATTAACAGGATGAAAGCATATGCCTAAAATTAAGCACGTGCATACAAATGTTGATGAATTGCTGAAATGGAAGCTGAGCTTGACTTTCCAGACAGATCTTACTTAAAGTTGAATGTGTCTATATGTTAAGAAGTTGACTTAAGTTCTGACCAAGGTCAGCTGAATTAGCCATTAATTATAATTAATGTTTTTGGGCTTGTAATAATAAGCTTTTTACCACCTTCACAAGCTGCACTCCTGTTAATTTTGTCATGGTAAACTTGGAAAGAAACAGGGAACTCAAACATGTGCAGCTCCCATAATCTTTTCTAGTTATTTTACAAATTCACCTGTAATATGTGAAAGTAACAAAGTGCAAATGATTACCAAAAGCAAAATCTGGATTTGATTATCTATCTTTTGTCAGAGGATTCTGTCTTGCTTCTTATAACTTTAAATTACACTTTAATACTTGAAAATGTTTTAAAACTGTACATATTAACATTTATGTAGAGAAAAATTATGAAGTTACACTTTTCCAATTAACCCATATAATTCAGCTTTAAGAAGCAGAACAGGATATATATCTGAAAAACATCTAGTTATATAAACATCTTCACCTTGTAAATTAGAGATTAAATAAAGATATTCAACAAATATCATAGCTACTCTAAAACCAAATTATTAGGTATTTTAAAAAAGTAGAAGAAAGGCTTCTATTCAGTAGGATTTCTTTCTTAAGGTTGCTTGTTTTTCTCCCCAAAATACAGCTTCATGGAAATAAGCACTGTAACTCAAAAAAAGCTTGCTGTGTCATTGTTGCATGAACAGATTTAAAAAAAGGAAAGAGCCTATGCGCGACAATGAAGAGAAAAAGAGCAAGTGCTTACTGTCCTTCCAGGAAACACGAGGGCTATGCAGTAAAGTTAGTTACAGAGAAGGTGTCGGGGAAGAGAAGTAAAAGTTGGTTTTAATTTTTTTCTATTAATAACCTTTTTAACGGAACAGTATGACAACTGATGCTCTCATTGTGCCTGTCTTATTTCTACTGAAAGACACTTACTTCCCATGTCCCATGGAAAAGTTACTAGAGAGATGCTTAGCCCTTATTGAATTACTCCCTCATGTCATTTTTAATAATACTTTAAAAAAAAAAAACTTCAAGTCAAAGTGCAAACTACCTGGTTTCAGCCCTTCATAAAAGTGTTAATATTTTTCCTCATTCATCTTCACTTATTTTTTAAATATGAAAGCTGAATGAGCCGTTAAGAACTTAGTTCTTCATCCCTCACTGTGCCCTCATAATTGTAGATAGTTCATCTACTCAGCCCAAACTAATTTGGAAGTTCACTTTCAAATAAAGTCATAGAAACAATATTTTTAAGCTGTCCTACATGATCAGAAGCACTTATGCAAATCTAAACTTACCCTATTATTGTAATGAGGAAGTCTCTGAATAAGTAGCAGAGAGTATTTCAGTGAAGTTCTTACAGTAATGCAAAAGTTCAGTTTTTCCTTTGAGATGTTTATTGGCTCCAATAACCCTTCTATGATTGCACTGTAAACTGTTCCAGCAGTCTAATTTAAAGGAATAAACATGATATTCCAAAGCCCACCTTGTGGAGGGTAAGCATAAGAAATATTATAGAAGAGGTTACTGATTGCAAGTGGAAAGAATGATAGTTGTGTTGCTTCTTACGGTAATTCTAGAATTTGGCTAGGTTATTCCAGCTTTTGGAAACAAGTTTGAACTCCTATGAACATAATCAACCTGAGAAGCACAGTTAGTGGAAAAGCCCCATCATTGTTACTAACTGCCAGCATTTTTTTTAATGCTGTACATTAATTTAGTCTCGTTTTAATCTGACCTTCTGAAATGAAGGTCTATAATAGTATGGCTTAAGCCATACAGAAAAGGACTCCCAACAAAAGTTCCATTAGTAAAGCTGCATACAGTAAATTTGCATACAGTAAATTTGACTCCAATGTCACTCTCACTAGTAATGCCTTAAGCTGGAGGGGGAGGGCAGGGGACCACAAAGCAATATGGATCATCACGGCTTAAAAGGGTAAAACAAACAAAACAAACAGGAAAAGGAAGATTATCATCTTCAGGTACCATGTACTGTTTAAGTACCACTTAGGAAGAAGGAGCAAATAGGAAACTAGAAGATAGTCTTGCCCACAGAAAACAATCAAAAATATATCTATAAACACAAAATTTCAATACTTAAAATGCTGCTATTTTGCTTGCTTCTCGAACCCCACTCAAGTAAGCTCCTGTAACAGTCTGAGGAAAGTGTCTATTTGTGGCCTGTATTAAAAAAAAAAAGAGTTTTGAATTGTTTCTGAAACAGAACAGATAGAGTTTTAGTTTATATGTTCATTTATATTTTTCTAAAGCATATACCAATCACTAAGTGTTGTTAAAAGCTATGGAAAGTTTCTTAGTAGAAAGAAACTTAGGCACATACTGTAGAATTTAGGAGGAAAGATTTTTGATTTTTGGCAACTTCAAAATTTGCAAGCAAGTCAGCTAGCAAAACGAGTAGACTATTCTATCTGTTCCTCAGTGAGGCCTGTAAGTACTGTTTCAATATAGAATGCACACGTCTCATCAGCAGAATGCATTTGTTATAGCTATGCTAGCCACAAATGAAGTAGCAGGAAATTAATTTGACCAAAAATATAAGTGGATTGTGTGGTCTTGTCATTATTCTGCACCAAGTGGTTGCACAAGCCACTCCTGACCTGACAACATTTGGTAGATTTTCCATGCCCAACACTAATGTGTCTTAAGTTACCTATGTCAAAATCAGGAAATATTAGCATATTTGTGTAATAATACTTATATGCTACCTCTGTATTAATAGTGTTGGTTGCAAAAGAGAATCTTTCATAAGAAATAATTTCCCAGTAACCTTAATAAACAATAACTAAGGTACTTACCTCACCAGCAAAAAAAATTGTGCCTTGTATGTCTTCAGCTATAATGTCATAAGCCTCACCACTGCCTCCTGTTTTTACAAAACTATATGCCATTTGGAGCCAAGGGTCTTTGCTCCATCGAGTAACAAAAAACTTCACTGGATCAGGAACCTCCTGCATAATCAAAATAAAAGTTATGCAGTACAAAGAACAGCTTATATTTGCATAGTATTCTGTTAGAAGCAGCAGCTTGTAATCTTTTGAGAGTACACAGTATTACTACAATACAGATTGGAATCTAAATCTGGGATTTGATCCTATTTTACTTATGCTACTAACCACCAAAAATAATTTTGTTTGCTGCACTTGCCTGATGTCTGAAACAGCAGTTACACTGTTGAGTGCAGCACATCTGGATGTTGTAATATACCTAGAACTGCACATGAGGGGAGAAAAAAAAAAAACCTCACCCCTCAAAATACATGCGTATTCTTCCAAATAGATAAAAGAGGAATCAGTTTCCCAAAGAAAATACCAGGATCAACATTACTAAACATGGTTGCGTGTGTGTAATATATGCACTTGTGTTGCAAATTCTAGCTTGTTTTAAATCTCAAAATATGATCTACATTTTGCAGATGATTACATTCTGATGGAGAAGTAACATTACTTGTCTAAGGTCAGACAATAAGCTGGTTTGAAAATTAGTTTTAGGGAGAATACAGAAGAGGTCAGTGTCTGTAACTCGAAGCCATGACAGCATGTCAGCATATAAATCTCACCCAATTCTACCAGTTAGAGCCTGGATAACAACTGTATGAAGGCTTAGTCAACTACAGCTGTATCTTACTCTTGAAAGGCTTGTGACATATAGATACTAGCACCCCCGCCTGTCTTTTACACAACATCTGCTATCGACAAACAGACAGATTTTTCCATTTAGGTAGCACCTAAGAGACTAATGTTCAAGCATCAAAACAACAGCTAGCCAAACAGCTACATATGGCAAGTTACGTGGACATCCAGGAAAGAAATCCTACTATACCCGTGAAAGCTACCTTGTCTTGGAAAACCCTGCTGCATTGTGGACAGATGACTAAAACCACAGACCTGTTTGCTTACCTGTACATTCTCAGGAGATCAAAATAGCAGGTATGTGGAGTTACCTTGTACATGATTCTGGTAGCTGTAGAGCGATTGACTAAAGTATGTTCTCTAGGAAAATTCATGCTTTCAGACGCCAAAGCCTTTCTGAGATCATCAGCCTTAACATCCTATCATTAAAACCTGAGAGATCAGCTAAGTATTCCTTGGGACCTAACTTCTATAAATAATTCTAACTGTAAGGTATTCCATAAAGTGGAGTGCAAATAACATTGCTAAGTGATAGTTAAATCTGGGGCAAGCAGAAGACTAATTGGCACATCAGTTGTTGTCCTGATGGTGGGAAAAGGGGGACGGGAGAGGGAGAGTGAAAGGTTTTTCCTCCCAATATTATTTTATCAAGAACGTAAGGCCCTTGGTAGATCATCTTGCCCATACCTGCACCCCCAGGCAGCTCAAGCAGGGCTGCTTCTCGTTACAGGAGCGAGTTCTGGTTTTGTTTTGGGGGGATTTTTAGCTGCTTCTTACATGGGAGGAAAAAATCAAATTCGTCTAACTTGAAGGCTTCATAATAGATTAGAAGCAGAGCTACCAAAAAAAAAAAGTCACAGCTAAGAAAAAGGTATATTTGTATTACCTGCCTAAAGTACTGATTTAAATTAACTGCCCTTTCTAAAAGGGCTTTAAAACAAAAAAATTTTTTTCTCCTTTTCCATTCAATACCCTTTTCTTTCAGCTCAGAGCAAGGACAGTTCTCAATTCACATTCTTCCACACAACAAGAAACCAGACTTGGCGTTTTTCTTGTATCTCAAAGGAAGCAGATCCCCTCAAACACACATAAGAAGAAAAATAAGTCTAAGGATTTTCCTATACATCACGAAGCAATATCACAGAAAGCTCATACAACTTTTTATACGTCTTCATTTAAGTCTGTTGGCAAGTTAATTCCTCCCTTTTCATGGAATAGTTTTCTCTTACCTGCTCCTTAAACAGCTCTCGAAGTACAGTCATACACTGTTGCAGTACTTGTTTATCATCTAAATTCTTAATGGTTGTTACAGCATCTCCAGTGACCACTGACATTAAAATGCTTTGTTTGCCCTAGAAACAAGACATAAAAACCAAATATTTTTTTGAAGTGATCGCATATGCTTAAGAATTTCTTGAAAAGTCACTTTTGATTACCCAAAAGATTTCTCAGCTGGGAAGTAACTTGTGCTTTGGAGGAAATCAGTTACGATACCTTGCAATAGAAAGTTCATATTCTGCAGTTTTCATATTCAAATTACAAATATCCTCTGATACCTAGTTCAAGACAGATCTTTATCATGTGAAAGTCAGACCTTTTACAACTTGCTGAATTGTTTGAAAAAATCATATTTACCTATTTAAAGGCTATACCAAAAGACTTGGCATTTAGAGTTTTATTCTTTGTGACAGACCTCTCAAGCTCTAGTTCTGTGCCAAAACTCTGCTTCAGTTCCTCTCCAATTTCAAAAGATGTTAACAAAGAGAAGCTATTTACCAGCTAGTTAAACATGTTTTGGATTAGGCCAATGCTAAGTTCTTAGCAGCAGATTTTGGACCAAGAGATGAAGTCTCCACTACCACTCAGGAGTTTCAAAGATGAAGTGGTGTCTACAGAATAGCACAGAAGTTCTCATCTCCTTTAAAGAATTCTCCCTCTCTTATTTATAAAGCAATTCCACTTCTGTTACTAAAACTTGATAATTATCAGCAAATTAAGAATTATATCTAGTGTCTTTAGAAAGCACCAGCATACTGAACTTCATGTAACGTGAGCTCACCACTACTGAAGAGGAAGCTTCTTTAAGTTATAAGTGGGTACAGATACTGTAATAACAGAGCACAGTCTTCACAGGATGGTTTCTTTTGGGGATAAGCCATAAAGTTATAAACAGGCCTTTTAATTGTTGTCAAGTAATAAGTTGCAGTAGTTGTAAAAGCATGAAAAGGTAAGATTTAAATGTGTCTGGTAGACACAGGAGGGGAAGAGAAACATGCTATCAATACGCCGGTTTGAATTGCCTTCCAAATTCATGGATTTGGAACTGTCCCCACAGACCTCAGTTTCATTCAGAACCTAGTATCTTGTCTTTTCTTCTGCCACTTTGCATCTCAGTCATTCAGGCCAGGGCAACAGAATATCAAACATTAACCATCAATAAGCCAGCATGTTCATTTTTACAAAAATTTTAACTAGTTTAAATCAGGCAACAAAAGGCTTGAACAGGAAGTGACTGGTAGAGACAGGTAGTCTCTTTCCCATATTAGTATATCTGTAATCAGGTATTACAGACTTGTTTTCAGAATAGCTTTGACTTATTTGGAAAAAAAAAAAAGGCATTAACTTACTTCTGTATTATTTTGTGTCCAAACCTGGAAAAACATTCCCATTTATTACAAAGAGTTATCATTCAGCTTTTTCTTGATGAATAATACTGCTTCCACTTCTCTTTAGCAGAAAAAAAGAAGTCTTTCATTGTTCAGTAATTACTGCACCTAGATTTCAGACTGAACTTCTGAAAGGCCAACAAAAAGTACACATAGCATGTGATACCTCTGGATCCATGTCATAGAAAACGCTGAAGAGCCCACGCTGGCTGGAATTGGGTGGAACATGACCAAAAAAATCAGCTCCTTGAATTTTGCTGTCCCAAAATCTGTAAGGAAACTGCAAGGCAATCTGGAGAGAGAAAGAGAGAGAGAGAGAGGATCGAAGATTTTCAGACCACACAACTCACAACTGCATATGGTACACGTTCTTCTTCCCTTTTTCCCCCTCAATTACAGACACCCAGTTCTACCAGAGGGTCTCAACAGAGACTATTTGGGCCCGTTCACCAGGGGGACAAGAAGGGAAATAAAACTGCTGAAGTCTCACAGATTGAAAAGGCACAGACAGAATCAAATTTACAAGTCATTAGCTGTGAAAAAACATTCGGGAAATTTGGCAGAGAACTTTTACAAACCCAGCGTGGAACTCAGAAATCCCCTGCGTGGGGGGAGGTATATGGAAATCACTGGATCTTGCCCTTAAACTTCCACATTGACATAGTACTGTTTCTAGCATTACTTCTCTTGCTGTTTTGTTCCAAATAACTAGGGATCTTTTCAGGAGAGACTGTCTTTTTGCACTGAGGAAATACATTTGACTTCAGTCAAATTCACAGCTTTCAGTATTCTTGAGAATAGTTAATTTATGAGGTCTAAAGGAGCTGGAATAAGTATATTCTGAGAATTCTGGAAAAATCTTAAGACCATTATAAAGGCTTGTTCAAAATTAGGTACAAAGAGCTAAAGTTGTGAAGTGATTTTTTGCATACAATTTTCTTTAAAAGCAACGCTTAAGTTGAGAATTCTAAGCAAAAGAAAAACATGTTATCCCAGATACCATTTTGCTCTTCTACCCTTTTTATTAATGTATGTTGTGAAGGTTAAAAACAAATGAATAAAATCAGTTCTGTTGAATATCTCTAATAGTAGAAAAATAACAGAAAAAAAGTAGCATCTGAGCAAGATATCTCCTCTCATACTCCTTACTTCTCTGCCCCAGCCTCCCAAAATGCACATACCAGGCACATCACAGAAGATTTTGGCTAGAGAATACAAGTGAAAACAAATACGTAAATCACGAGAAATATGCAGCAAAAGCAACAGGGCCAAAACAGCTAATGTTTCTTTTCACAGAAACTGAAATATAATTTTAAATTACATACCTTCTCAATGACTCCTGCTCCCAAACTATTAATGGCTTTAATTTTTTTTTCTGACAGTGGTGGATTAAACTGAATGGTGTTTTTCTGAAGAAGGGCCAGTGGTACAGTGACTAATACCTGAAGAAAAATAATCACAACGGTAGCAAAAGCTGAACACAACATAGCTGAACACTAATAGCCTCCTCTTAACTATCTTGGCTTAGTCTTGTAGGATGCAGTCTAGTACTTACCAGGCAACTCAAGATTAGCATCTGATTTTACTGCACATTAAGGGAAAGCACATTCATTACAATAAAGTATAAAGTCTCAGGTCACTGGCTTCTAAGTTGTAGTCTGTTGAATTGCTTCCATCAGAGTGGCTAAACATGCTACTGATTTTAATATCTCCTGTAAATTATAGTCAATGACTATCAAATTAACAAACCTGTCTTTGAAAGGACAGAAGATGGTCCTTGTCAATCCAATCTTAATTGAGCTTATGTATCATTCAAAAAAACGGACTAAAGCTAACTTAAGCAGCACGAAGCAGTGCGGAAAATCAGGAAATAAGGGAAACTGAAAAATATGGGGTGTCAAATGCAACATCCCAAAGGGAATAATTACAGATTCACACGTCATACGAGGTAAAGCTGAGTAGGGAATGTAACCCAAAATTGTAACCGTCACTTCAGACACCAGATAAAAATCCATTTGCTGCTCCCCTCCCCCTCCATTTTTTGGATGCCTGGAGAAGCTACTGAGTTCTTTCACTCAACAAGTACTCAAAACTCAAACATGTTCAGTGAAAAACAGTCACTAAGTCATCCAAATGTGGGCCATTAGAATATATGATTTTTCACCTTTTGAGGGAAGAAATTGAACTAAATAGTTTTCCGAGAGGGGGGAAAAATAAAGGACATGTACTATGATCAATATTGTTCGTGTTCCCTATAAAAATCCATATACTTGAAGCATCATGAGTACCTTTTGGGCTGTCCACACTGTTCCTTCTGCAGTAGTAACCTGAACTTCTTCACCAGAATAGTCTATACTGTGTACCTATTGAAACATAAATGCAAAAAGATTATAAAACAAAATCTATATGTAAAATGCAAATTCAGACAAGAATAGCTAATTTAGCACCAATCTACAAACTAGATACTGAAGGATACAAATTTCCAGAGAAATATTAAGGAAAAAAAAAAGCCTTTATAGAAGCAGATTTAAAAAAAAAAAAATCATGATTCTAACAAATCAGCTCATCATATTATAATGTGTTGGTTCTCAAAGTCCTTAAACAGGATTTCCAGGAATAGTATAGTGTTCGTTACTACCGATAAGCTGCCAACACAAAAGAAGGAAAATAATGGTATTCTTTAAAATTTAAGTTAATTACAGAAATAGGTTTTTTATTAGTATATACCTGTGAACAGTGTTCATCAAATTGATTCAATCTGTCATGAACTTTAGACTGTACCCCTACAGTGCAGAAACATAGCTGTTTTTGGTATCAGATTTAATATAAATAATATCACTCAATGCTAATGGCAATGACAATTCTTTAATTTATGATTAGTCAGAGATTTAAAACAAAAAATATTGAAATTGTCTTCTCTTTTCCTAAAGACAAGTTAGAACACTCATAGGATGAGATTTGCCACGTCAAAAAAAAAAAAAAAAAAAGTACAAAGAATAGGATTTGATGCTTCAATGCAAGCCAAGCCAGGCACTGCATCAACATTTTCCAGACTTACTGGAAAATTTAGCCGGATGTCCAGTCCTTCTGCCAACGTATCAATCACAGTAGAATACCCCACAGTTAGAAGAGTGTGATCTCCAGCAAACTGAGCAAAAAATTCATTGTGGTCCCATGAACGTGCAGATACCTGTGGATAAAACATAACAAGCTGTCTCTACTGCTAAGACAGTATTGGCACTTTACAAAAGTCCTACAATTTAAAAGAAGCCACCTTATTTGCCCTCTCAACTGGCAAAAAGATTATGTTACCACAATATATGGCAACACCAACAAAAATAAACAGCTCATTTATCTAAGGCACTATATGCCATGTAAATTGCTGGATTAAGAAACGTCATAATACAGGTTGGTCACCAGCATATAATTTATAATTCTGCTTGGTACAGAAAACAAGGGAAGTAAGAGGAAAAAAAAAAAAAAACAGGTGGTTTTGCAGTGTATTTATTTCTGTTTTCCATCTGTAGCAAAGAAATCAGATTTTACAGCCTTAAGATATCAAATAAAAACTGAAATATTTTACTTCCCAACATTAAGGGGAAAAGGAGATACAAAAAGGTCTCCATCAAATTTTTCTGGCACTTTGTAGGTTCTTCCAAGACACGTTTCATTGACCTTCATCCCCCAGTCATAACTGGTACAATAGAGGTATTTCCTCTAAGCAATCACACCTTGACAGTCAAAAAAATGAGAAGCAGATCTCAGACTGCTATTCAAATGCCAATTCCTATCATTGCAGATGCATTTACCTCATATTTTTAATTTTTAAGCTGAAGGTAAAGTAAGACAGATTTTAACATCCTTCTTATTACCCCTTGGGTACTCATGAGCTATGAAAGCTTAACAGATCAAAACATTCCACATTGACTGAGCTGGTATAGCACTGTCTTGCAGATTCTTATGTTGTTACATGCTTCTCAGTTCAGATCACATTTGTGCATCTGCCCAGAGCAGTCAGTCATTCCACTACCGCAATATATTTGTCCCTGAACATCTTTAACCCAAGCAACAGGACTGAGGAAGTAACACTGCGAACAACATCAAACTTGGATATTTCCTAAACCTGCCTGGAATCAAAATTAAAAGTGAAGTCATGAGGAAAGCCAAGTATCACATAGTCAACAGAATACCTAAGAGTAGTGAACTGGGGCCCACCGTCATGCTGTTGGAACACTTCAGAAGTTAAATGCATTTATTCTCAAGATACCTAGCAAGGTAGAGAAATACCTCAGTTTTTAAACACAGGACTGAGAAGCACAGAAGTCACACACAATGTCTGAGAAAGATCAGTTCTCCTATGAATCCTATCACCCAGAATCTCTGCAGAACGCCCTTTTCCACTGCACCAGCTACTCTCAACTTTTAATTTAAAAGAGGATCTCAGTGGAAACATGTCAAGAAATCCCACTAGGTTGCCTAAGGAGGTGTTGGAGTCCATGTCACTGGATGTTTTTGAAGAACAGGTCAGGGAAATAGGAACAGTTTAGGGATCACTGATTCTCCCTTGGGGCCATGGGATGGATCGTGAGACTTCTCAAGGTCACTTCCAACCCTATTTTCTGTGAAACTCCACTATTTCAAAACATAGCTGTCATAAAACTCACCTGAGAGAGATTGCTGCCACAGGCATACTCCAAATTACTGAGATGGAACTGTAGTACTTTTTCTTCCAGCTCACTGAACTGGATACCAGACTCCTGAATAAAGGCTTTATAGATCTCTTGTATTTTCTCTGTGAAAGAACATGTTTAAAATAAGAATGTAGTGTGATTCATCACAATTCCTATCACATCACAATATGCTGTTCTGTGGATCACAAGATTTTCAAGCTTATTACCAATATCAAAGCACTAAGAACTTTTTCTTCTCATAGAAAAAAATACAAGATTTCTCTGGTGTTAAAACAACTTTCTTGTTTAAACATAGGTTTCCCTAGTAAAAGCCTTTTCTTCAGAAAGGAAACATGTACCTTGAGGAAAAAAAATGGTAAAAATGATTTCTAAAAAAAAAAAAAAAGAGGACAACAGCATAGTTGAGATACCAACTGAGACAGGAGACAAAAATCATTATTTACCTACCATCAACATACACTTGATGATATTTCAAGGAAAACATCCTTCTCAGGATAACAGAGAATCCTTGCAAATAAATTCTGTTTAATTTTTACAAAACAGACAGAGCTGAGAAGTTAGGTCCAAAGGTCACTGAAGAACATAAGAATTTACTAACTTTGTCTTCTTGCACCTATGCTGAAAAATTTGGGAGGTAATCATTTCTTATATTTTCTTGTGGAATATACTGGCATGCTCTAAGTGTGGTGGATGGCACTTTTGCCAGCAGAAGGCTTTGATCAAGTTGTTAGACAGATTAGTCAAAAAGAACAGAGTTATAGCTAGCTGTGGCATGCTTCAACAATTTAGAAGCAAATCTTTTGAACTGCTATTGTCACTGGTTGTACTGAAAAAAGCTAAATCATGAAAATAAGATACTACATCAAAAGTAATACATTTTTATAAAAACATTCAAATTAGACTTCTTTAAAAGTTACAAGTGACATTTTGGTCCAGGTGTATACGACCACCAAGCTCCCTTTGTCATTAATAGAGCCAACTTTTCACTGTTGGATTTAAGGCCAGACATAAAACCATACACTTCTAAAGACATACGAGGTAAAAGGCAAGTTGATATAAAACTCTAATTCTAATGATTATGAACTCAGACACATGTTCACTGTTAAAATTACATCTCGCTTACCACCAAGAGGGACATCGTGATGTTGGGTTTTATCTTTTCTCCACTCAGAGACAACATCCAGGATGGCATTGAAATGAAAGTCCATGCGTTTATCAATAGTGGGATCTGTTATCCTTCCGCCTTCCTGGATCAAGTCACATCTCTCCCCTAGTTTGTGCATTTTAATGCCAAGCTTAAGAGAAAGACATTTTATTGCTATTTAAGCATGGAAAAGCTGGAGTGTCTAGACTGCTCAAAGTTATTTAAAGATGAATCCCTCAGATTTAAGCAACATCACTTAAAGACATCCATCCAGGACTTTAAATCATGTCAAATTAACTTAGATTTTCATCCTCTTAAAAAGAGGATAACCAAAGTCCCTTTCCCTTCTATCTCTCCATTCTCCACAAATTCCTTTTTTTCCCCACTCTTCTATCCTTTCCTATATCAGGGATTTCCTGAAAACTTGTCTCCAACTTTCCTATCAAGCCAGGGGCTAGTATGTCGATGTTGGGTCTCGCAGTCACATGTGATGAACCAACATGTTCTTCATTTATCTCTCACCCTTATTTTCTAGTTGTCATTAATACCAGTTATTTTGCACAACCTCCTGGTGACTGAAGCCCAGTTCCCTGCAATTCAGAAATTGCCAGTTACTGCCAATTGCTTAAGCAAGCAAGCAAAGAAAGAAATGATTTTGAATTAAAGCTAGTATCTTACTCTGCTTGTTCAACTCACGTGAAACACACAAAAAACTAAGTTAGAATAAAGACGTTTTAATGTTCTACAGAGTCAGTCTGGAGAAAATAGCAAAAATGTAGCACTAACTTCTTCCTAGTGCCTTGTTACTTAGAGCACACTCCAAAGTTTTTCACATATCCTCACATATCTCTAGGCTGCTGCTCACCACTGCAGATCTCTTCTCAAGATACAGTTGTACTTTGAATGAAAGATGACATCAATGACCACATAGGGATGGGCTCCCAATGTGTATTCAGAAGTCATTGCTCCTCACCTCATAACTAAAACATGATTTAAAAAAAATACATTTTTATTCTTCATGACACTATAGAACGCTAAACAGTTACAACTACATGCCTCGTCTGAGCGAACTCCTTACTCGGGTTCCATTTGGAGAAATTCAGCTTCCTGACCAAAAGTCTAATGCATTGCGTTTTGCAATGGTAGTTGCTATACTTCTTAATTGTAACTTGTGTGGAGCTGAACTAGAAATAGAGGCCAAAAAAGGGCAAGTCTGCTTCAGAACTATGTATTAAGACAATATAACAATAGCAACCCACAGTAAAACCCTTCTCAACTCCAAAGATTTGCCTATACTAGAGTCATCAGCCTGCTAGGGACCTGTTACATCGCTGTCTCCAGACAAGGGCAAAAACATGGTTTCTTCTTGTTCTGAAGTTGGAGTTGCATGGTTTTGCTTTACACAATGTCCTTGAAACCATTCTACAGCCCTTCTGTGTCCTCAGCTGTTACCAAAGCTATGATAACAACATGAAGTTTACTTAAAACTGGGTTTTGATCATGTCATAGATAAGGACTCCCACCCTTACGCACCCACCCAAGCCTGGCTTTTAATGACAACTTTGTCACTAATAACAATGCATGACCACTGCAGGGAACCCACTTGCTCACACATTAGTGCCATTGGGTTGTTGACACATCCATTGACAATTTGTGCACCTCTTCCAACAGTGACTCCTTTGAACGTCTTATCATCCCACACTCGGCCACCAATTCTGTCTTTCGCTTCCAAGACAACGACCTAGGACACGATCAAATTTTACAATTTACTATGTTTATTTTAAACATACCTCTTCAACTCCAGAGTGAAGGAAAAAAAAACCAAAATCAAGTAATTCAGCAGTGCTAACAATCTTAACACTTTATTTTTGGTTTGTGAATGTAGTTCCCTTTTATTTATGAATTTAAATCGTCTTTTAAAGATTACCCTTTGAGACATATACACATAAAATAACTTAAAGAACAACCCTACTTTTAAAAAAGCTAAAGACACATCATTTATGACATTTCATAACTGGAGGTTAAGACATGCTACAGGCTTATTAAATACAATGATCCAGGTGCATCTTCCATCTGAGGAAATCCATTAACCTTTTGGAGAAGTTTATTCCTGGGATATTCTAAGAATACCCTGTTCTCAGGTATTTCCACCATTCTTACATGCCTCTTCAGCATCCACTATTGGTCGTAGTCAAACACGGGATACTGGGCTGGATAGACTTTTCCTCTCACTTAATAAGGTTACTCTTACTTACTTGTATTATCTTTTTATTTTTAGAGAAGAATGTTCCATCTCTCCAAAACAGTAGAAAACAATGGTTTAAAAAGTATATAATTAATTTACGGCATATTTCATATATAAAAAATATTCTGCCAGTTGATTTTTACATATTTAACTTCAGGAGAGCTTTCTACGGGACATGATGTACAAAAAAAGCATTTCCTTAAATGAGCAGCCCCACAAACATTTACATGTGTAACGAGTCCCATAGATTTGCAAAATACTCCAAGTGTATAAAATTATGTCAACATGTAAACATTGTGAGGTCAAACTGGCAATGATAAATAGGAAGGAGAAGGGAAATATGTGCAATTGTAGATATACTTGTTTTGAATAAACAGATTATAAAACAAATCATAAAACAAATAAATACAGTAAAATTTCCTCTTATTTAAACCATGATAGTCTAGAGTCTATTACTATCACTATCATGATTAAGCCATGATAGTCTAGAGTCCCATTATTTGGATGTGAATATCCATGTCTCTGCGACCCTCAACCCAAGGCTATGTAAAATATTCATTGCTTGCTTTGTTAAACTTTATCGTTAAAACCAGCGTTTAGTTGTATTTAGATTTACTCAATAAAACCCCCAAATTTACAAATGAATTAGGATACTCTATACATAGATATTTGTAACAGGATTGTCTTTTTTTCATTGTGATGAAGAACACCTCTAGAGTAGGAGAAGTCTGATTTTTTAAGTTATATATTCTTAAGTTTCTTACCTTAATTCCAAAGTTGTGCAGTTGTCGGGCTGCTGCTAATCCTGCTGCCCCAGCCCCAACGATAATGACAGATTTCTAATAATAATAAATAAATAATAGTTTGAGCTAAAAGAAATGATCATTACACACATTTTTCTTGCTAAAGTTAAAATATCCACGGGTTTCAAAAGTTTAGGCTATCTTGTCCTCTAAAGTAATCAGCGACAAGCTTTAGAGGTGATAGTACATTTAGTATACAGAAAAGGCCAATTATAGCTTTGAGAATAGTTACAATTTAAGCACTTTAAAAGCAGATGTCTCTACTCATTTTATCTAAAACTGCTGAAGTTATCAAACAAGTAACACAATCTGGAGCATAACACTTACCTTGCAATGACTTCAATCACAAATTTAGTCGACCAGTAAAAAACAGTTTATAAATTAAACAGACAAACAAATACACTTTCCATATATAAATCAACTTACTATTTCTAGATTTTCCATTACAGAATATATTCATTTGATAAGTTTCTGTGAGATGTTACACAAAATGCTAGTCATAAATATGTACCCTTTAATCACTGTTCTTGCAAACCAGTATGAAATAGGAGTTTCCTCCCCTATGGAAGCACAGGTGTATTACAATGTTAAGCCATGAGAAGAACCTAAACGTACTGCATGTTTTTCACACAGTTCCCATCTGTCTGAAGAGCTTACAGGAAGCACAGCAATTGGCTTACACAGATTTTAGTGGGAACAAATACCTTGCTAGCAAGAGTCTGTTGTCTACAGTTTCAATAGCCATTAAAGGTAGATGAGAACTGTGTGAAAAATATGTAATATGTCTGCTTTTAGATGCAATTCTGACGTGGTTTGAATGACAGATCATGAGCAAAAAATCCACAACCAAAAAAATATAGAATCTGCCATTTAGTTTTATAGCACAAATAGCATAGGGATTATTACAGCTACTTACGTTATGGTATTCTTTAGGAAGGAGATACTGGTCAGGACTGACTGATAAAATCCCTGTATTAATTAGCCCTTTCCTTGTCATAAAATAAAGTATCCTCTCCATTTCCTGTACACAACGAATACGTACAAGCCCCCGAACAATGATATGATGAATACATTTTTGAGGAGTAAGAGCCTCCTGAAGAAGGGAAACAAAAAGAGAAAGTCAATATTTTCATACATGCACAACATATTTAAACTGTAAGTCAGATGTTTAGGGTTAATCATGAATCATACAGGTTTCTGAGAACATTTAAAAAGTTAGATTTGTGGAAGTTTTTTGCCAGCCAGTTTTACAGCGCAAGTCAACAGTTTATCTCTTCCAACTTTCCTAAAAACAAAAAGCTAGATTATCACAGCATAAATGCACGAGTCTACAAGATACTCCTGCGAACTCCATGGTATGCTCTATCACTACAGGAACGGTATTGAAACACATCAAATGAAAATGAATTCCTTGCAAAACGAATCTAACTGCTAGCAATGCTCACAGGCACTTCAGCAAAACTGAAATAAAAATAGATTAATATCCAAAACCTCCACACATTAATACAGACATCTGTATCTGCAAGCCTGCGTATGTGAAATTTCAGCGGGCTCTTGCTTTCATTTATATTAAGTGCAAATAGAAGCAATTCCATTGAAGGCAATGTCATAGAGCTACCAAAAGCAAAAAGACAATCACTTGCCTATCCAACATTCACGTGGGGGGGGGGTCACTTTAAAAGTTAATAGCTGGGTAGATGCAATAAAGTTTTAATAGCTTTAAAAATTCTGCATTTTACTGCAAGACCACCTCCCTGGCATTAAACAAATTTAAAGCTTTTTTATTTTTATTCTGAGTGGATTTTCAAAAGGATGGGAGCAATTTTTGTGCTGTATAAAAGGGACGTCTGAGAAGAGAGTCCACTCCCTTTGCCCCCTTCCCCAGAAAAGCTCCCCACCCCCCAAAAGTATCTATTATTTGTAAACAAAACAATTAAATATTAAAATCTCTTACCTTGCAGTTTGTGTACCACAGAGCCAAAATGAGGTTTCTCAAAGCCAAGTACATGGTAGGGTCTCGTGAATATTCTGGGAACTCATAGAGCTCATCCAGTTCCATGACATCTGGCCTCACACAAAGTGCTTTACCACATTCATTGGGCTGGTAAAAGGGCTGAAAATATTTGTTCATTCCTGCAACTGAATAAAGACACAATGAGAATTAGTCATACCCTACTGTTTCTTCCCTTGTCTCTCTACGGTGGCCCACTGACCTCACATAGATAAACAAATACTGAAGTATTTGAATCTCCAGCCGCCTTTAGAATGATTTCATTTCATTTATGTTATTCTTCCTCTTTTACTCTCCAGGCTTGTGAAATACTGATTATTATTCTTCTACATAACACGTCCTGGCACTATCAGAGCTTACCGTTTGTAAGAAAAACGGTCTGTGTCCTCAGGTACCATGGCGAGTCTAACAAGGGACAAGATCTAAATTCAAAATCTGAGGACTACCACTGCGGTTGCACACAGTACAGGCTCTTGCAGTCCTCTGAACCCCTGTCATCTTCAACTCCCAATACTGCCCAGAACTGATAGAAACTAAAAGTAATCATCCTCCATATGCAGTACTGGTAGCTCTGTGTAATGCAGCTAGTTTTCTCTCTGTTAAGCAGACAGGTATCTATTGAATAGATAAGCAGATTTATTGTCAGCACCTAAGAACAAAAAAGCCTGCTAGGATGTGGAAACTGAACTTTCCTCATATCACCCTCTCTGAGCTAGAATTGAGGTGTATCAACAAGCATGGAAATCCCAAATTACCATTTTTCCTACCTGACCTGTTTTCACAGAATCACAGAATGGTTGAGGTTGGAAGGGACCTCTGGAGATCATCTAGTCCAACCTCCCTGCTCAAGCAGGCTCCTCTAGAGCATATTGCCCAGGATCACAGTTTTGCAGTTCAGTAGAAGATTGCACTCCCAGGCTCTCAATCTCAAAGCTGTCATTAGTAAAGAGTTAAGCTTAAGAGAATTTGAGTGCCTTAAGGAATCTAGTTCTTTTCTCCAAAGCCCCAAAGATCCACAATATCAAAACTAGCAAAATCATGTTTTTTGGTTTGGGTTTTTTTTTTTTTAAATAAATCTTCATTGCCTTAAGAATGCAAGCAACATTTAAGTACCCACATGTTCATTTCCCATTTCTATCAACAAATGACAGGCGGTAATCAAAAAGCCTTTGCAGTCTGTGCTTACACCTAAAAGAAGTGCCATGAGAAATGTATTACCTTTAAGTTTACAGACAAGTTAAATTATGACACAGAAGTACAGAGGCAGTCTCACAGAGAGTGTGTATTAGTGCAAGAAAAGAACCAGTGTTTCTGAGGCAGGAGCATTATATGCCTTATAAACTCAGCCACAAGACAAAATTTATCACACCTATTTAAGCAACAGAGCCCTGCAGACCGCCCTTACCAGTCAAATTAGGCACGCTCTTTAAGTGCTCTAACTTCACAATGTTGGATTCACCAGGCAATCGATTAGTGCTGGTACAGGATGGACTCATGCCCACGCAGTCTGGATAATATGCAGCTAGAAAGGGAGCTGCCACACTGTCTTTCAGCAAAGGAGGGAGTATGAGCATGGAGTACCACCAATGGTCTGAAACTTCAGCCACTCTCTGGCCAAGCGGAGAAGTGAAGGAAAGAGGGGAGAAGAGAACACGTCAGTACTTGGAAAACGTTGGAAAATGAACCAATTCCCCCCCTCCCTCCAAAACTCAGATTAAAAAGCACTGTAAGTACCAATCAGAATTGCAAGTCATGAAGACATTTTCTCTCCCTCTTTCCCCTTCCTCAGCCTGACACAGAAAACTTATAGCATTAACCTGCTCCTCAGAAATGGAGCCGAAACTTCACAAACTCCACACCCTTGTGGAAAGCCAACAGACAAGACATGCCATAACGAGAAATCTATGCCTTATGAGGCCCTCAACAAAATGTTTACAGTTGTTTACGCATCCAGAAATCTGAATTTAGAAAAGTCCAAACTGATCAATTTTATTTAGATTCCACTATCCCCATCACAGACTTTCTAAATCCCTAGCAAACACTAAGATTCAGCCTTGATTTACAGATCAAAAATGCTTTAAGGAAACGAAAACACAAAACTTCCACAAGAGTCAACAATAATCCACTTGAACATGTTTCCTGGGATAGAGGTACACTCGCCAGCACTGACACTGATCATACAAAATCTGAAATGCAGGGCTACATTATTATAAAAGCTTTGCAACAGCAAGGTACACCAAGTATAGTTTTGTGTTAGGAGGGGGAACAGAGAGAAAACACGTTTTGATGTTCTTTTGCAGTTTCAAAAAGAGATGACTAGCTTAACTAGGACAGAAACCACCTGAAAGACCTGGAAATTTCAGGAATGGATTTTTATTTGAAACCTGGCAATTGAATGCTGTCTTGCCTGCTGAAAAAGCAGAATTAGGAGTAAGATTTGAATCACAGAAAGACACCAAGAACCCCCTGAAAACTATTTCTTACAGGAAGCAAAGAGAGGAAAAAGAAGAGAAAGTAGAAGACAGCCCTAGGCTCTGTTGCAAATAGTGTCTGACGGTTTCCTGAGCAAAATGCATAAATACCGCCATAATTAGCCAAAAGACTAAGAAAAGGAAAGACATACGCCATGCTTTAAGGTTGCTTTTATTCTCTAGGACAAATGAGGAGGAACAACCACTACTCACCAAGTCCTCAGGCATAGAACACTGATCCGAGCCCTCAGTCTGAAAGAAAAGTGAATTATATCAGTACTATTCTTAAGCTATAAAAAAAAAAAATTAAAAAAGTAATTTTTCTATGCAAACAAAAAATGTATTATTGTTAGCTTTGTGTAGCACAGATGATTATTTTTACTAATGTAGAGTAATAAAAGGAGAAATGCATAGTTAAAAACACAGCACACAATAAAGCCAAAACATTCCAGCAAATGTTTCTCATTTAATTACATTAAACAGTCTCTACTGATCAATCTACTCATTAGATATTAAAATATACGTCCTGTTCCAAGAAGTGTAGTGGAACACTGAAACAAAAAAAAAAGAGTGGAATTTTATAGTAAAATTCTGGAAAGATTCCACATTTTCCAGACAGATTCTCTCAGAGTAAAAATAAACATGAGAATTTTTTAACAGTATCTTTATTACAGAATTTAAAGATGAAATGTTGACCATTCCACTGTTCAATGGTCAGCATTTTCATCTCATGTTTCTTACTATACAGATTCTATGATAATATACGGACTCTCTGAAATTTCAGGACTTATCTTCATGCTAAAGCCCAAAATTTTCATTTTTTAAGCCCCAAGACAAACTTGAAAAAAATTAATAAAAGCTCATAGAACCTTTCAGATGTTTTCCTCAATAGTAAAGTATGCTGAACAAAATAAAACATTTTAATGTAGGTTTATTTTGTACATACTGATATCTTTCAACAGCTTCAAAATTAATGATTTTACAACCGACTGTGCAGATAAACAGTATTCTGGATACTTCTGTTTTGACATTTTCCCTCAGAAACAAAGAGTCCAAACAGCCTGTAGGACTCTAACCATGCAATTCTCCAGCCCATCAGAAATTGTTTGGACATGAAGAATATTAAGATGCAAAACAAGAAAAAAAAAAATCAATGTCTGCAAACAAGAAAATCAATTTGCAGTTACTTTCAATATGAGTAGAAAAGTCTGCGTTACCTTAGTAGAATTGTTCAGTTTCATACCACATCTGTACGTTTTTGCTATTTGTGGTGTCAGCTGGATTTCCTTTGTCAGCTGACGCCATTTACCACATTCTGGCTTTGTGCACTGTACCTACAAGTTAAAAAACAAACATGTTTTTACTTGTTACAATCTGATCATAGATAAGGTAAACGAAGCACGCTAACCAATAAGAAAGAAGATAGGTGTGAGGAAAGCGTTAAATACATGTTAAATACAATTGTTAAATTGATTACTATCCATGTGTCACAAGCAAGACATTTGGTATGTATAAATCTTTTACCTCCCATAAGAGAGTAAATTTCAGCATAGAAGTTAACTCGAAAATTAATCCTACACCTGATTACTACTGTCTTTAATGAGTTTTGAAAGCATTACTTCAAACTGGTATTGTTCACCACTAAAAGAACACTTCCTGCCATTTTCTTTTCTTCTAGTCCCTTTATCACGGAAATATAAAATCTATGTTTTTGAAATCTTACGGACTCACACTTTCATTAGGCATGCTCTCTTTTCCCTACCATGTCTTATTCTATCTGAATGCTGCACATCTGAGCTGCTACTTCTCTGAGAAACAAGAGAAGGTTGTCTTCTCTTTGGGATTTGGAGAAGATCTCCTGCAACAGAAAAGCTGATCAGAATTATTATCTTGAGCCTTTCCCCAGTGCTCTAACACCAGAAAGCCCCTGGGAAAAACTCAGCAGACCTGCTACCTGATTACAATATTAAAAACTCTTTCAGAGCAAGAAAGAAGGAAAAGATGGAAAGGATGGAACAGAATAAGGTAATTTAAATACCAAAACAAAACTGTATACTTTCTCAAGCTACCATGACATTGAAATACACCCTAATCCACAAATTGCTCTGTCTTACCCAGTAAGGAAGCTGTTGATCAGCCATGAAGGCTTTTGGACTGGGCTCACTTTTACCATTACTTGTCCAAATCCTTTTCCAGGCAGTATATTTCTCATAACCATCTTTATGGCTAAGAAGACGGAGAAAAGAGAACAGCAAGCAGTTAGAAAACTGAATGATCTAGCTCATCTTAAGCAACAGCTGTTATTCTAAAATTAAACATTTTATATAAGGACAGAGAAGTGAGACTGAAGATAGTCCTATATTTTTCCTAATAAAAAAGGGAGACAGTCATGGATCTTATGAGAGTGATAAAAGAGCATCCTGGCCACTATGTCTTCCTGATAATGAGCACATATTTGAGTATCTAAGGTCCAGGCTGAGTTACAGGTAGCGCTGCGCACATCAGCACCTAAAAGTCTTAACAGAGCTGGACTCAGCTCCCACTCACGTGGGAAGCATTTTGGTTTCTAGAGCACTCTGTGAGCCTGACCAGTGTCTTCACAGCCACTGAACTGCAAGAGTTAAATCTGCTCACTGATATGGTTTTACAAAGATGCCAGGTCTCCTGAATTCCTATTGTAAAGTGAAACTGCTATATGAAGGAAATAGATTTACTTAAACTATTCTTCTTAATTAAAATTCTATGATACTGCTTTAAAAAAAGAGGAAAGCTTTAGAATAAGTGTACAGATAAAACAGCCTGCTTAAAAGCAACTAGTTTTGTTCATGCTACTATGTATAGCTTGATGGTTTGTCCATACAACGCCTGCAGTTTTCCCACCAGCATCTAAGCTCCACTTCAAATAAAGCAAGCCAGAAGACAATCCTTTGTGCATGTGTGTACGCGTGTGTGTATGTAAATAAATAAATATATACATATATATATATATATATATATGAGACATTTCAACGGTTGTGATGTCTGCCAAATTTTTAATAAGCCCTGAAAAGGCGTAACCTTAAGTAGCAAACCTACCTTCGATAATAGTGGTCAAAACATTCATTGCAGAAGTGTTCCCCACAGGAAAGATGATACCATCTAGACGTATAGCCATTTTTAGCACATCTGTAATGCAAGAGACGTAGAAATAGCATTATGATGCATTTCAAAAATCTTCCTATTGACAACAGCACCTTCTAAAACGTGAAAAGAAAAACGCCAAGGACAGGACAGGGCCTTCTGTTATATTCGTGAACTTTGCCTCGCACAAGGCATTAGTCATACAAATAACAACTAATGAGAGGATCATTTCAGTTGTTTCAAAGATTTCCAATTTCCAAATGGAGCAACACCAGGTCCACAGGAGGCAAAACACACACCAAGTGCAGTTGCGTAGATGGTCTGGAGTCCCGCAACGGCCAGCTGAGCCAGTCTATAGCGCCCTTTAAGTGGACAGTTCCCGAACATGAAGTGTGCTGCTCTTATAATCCATGCTGTGGCACACTAAGCATTTTCCAAATGTACACGAAGGCAAAGTCTCTCTCCATAGGAACTTACAGTTCCCTCCATTTGTTCAATTTTTTTCCATTATTAGTGCAGGGCCATCAGAAAGATCACTTAAGAAAGTATTCTTCCTGACTCTGATTAATTGATTCATAAATTATTACAACACCTATTCCCCAGGATAACTGACAAAACTACAAATACAAATATGAACACAAAACAGATGTTGTCTATTTTTTCACGTGACTGAGTTGACTCTAATTTTAACCTGATGAGACAAAATCCAGAGTAAATAGTTGCACATGTATTACCCTCAGAAAGAAATATATATTAGCAATGATTATATTCATCAGACAACACAATCAGTCCAGCACTCTTCATTCAGAGAAAACTCACGCTAAACTCAATGAAATGTTTCTCTAAAGATAAATGTATGAGTGGTAAAAAGCAGTGACCTAAGCTACTAACGGAAAGAGTTAGCTACAAAAGGATCTCATCTCAAATAGACCATGTTGAAAGTATATATTTTGTAAAAATAATCAAGATGTTAAAATAAGACTTTGCAAAGATGAATATGCAATGTCCATCGTTTCCTAAATAAAAAAGTAGTATTACTGACAACTAGCTGCTCATTTTCCCCACAAGTCTCTTACACCTGCCAGAACAGTTGCCTTTCCTATGACAGTCATTAATGCACTGAACTCCTGATGCCAAAGAACAATTCACATAAGGCAATGAAATGAAGCACTAGATCACTTTATATCATTGCAAAATAATTAAAAAGGGAAAGTTTGTCTTGAGTAATGAGGGAGGGAACAATACCATATAAATACAGTCTGCCCACTGCATAATTAGGTTGAACATGTTGTTTATTATGGATAGATCTTGTCTCTGTCATAAGGCATTCAGTACCTCCAGCTTCAGAATGCAAAAGTACTTGCATAAGGTACACAAAACCATGAGCTACTTGAGACAAGGAGTTCAGATAAGTATCGTTGTCTTCCAAGACCTAAAATTTCAAGCTCAGAATCTCACCGAGGATTGCAAACCATTTCAACAAAGGTGTGATAAAGAATTTCTGCAGTAAATGATGGTTTTGTTTTCCATCTTAATGGCAAGTTTAGCTTCCTCTGATTTCACAAAAGCGCTCTCAGTTTCACTGAGGCAAGGTGTGTGCCAAAAGACAGCATTAATAACCTAAATAAGCTTACTCTAAAGAAATTCTATATCAGAATTAGCAATTTCACAGAACAAAAATTACCAGCAACAGGAATAACTTGTGACACTTTCCTGGCATCTTAAGCCTGCAAGGAGACATTTAGTACCTTTCAGTCGTCCCTGCACACTTCGCAATGAAAGCTTTTTCAGAATGTATTTAAAAATCTAAACCTCAAATGTAGGTTTAGGAAAGTCCATGACAAATATAGGTGTGCAAATAAAAAGAAGCAAACCTTTCAGCTGCACTGGCAAAGCAAACGGGACATGTTGCAGTGCATCCAGCTTTTTCACACTTCCTATACTTCTTCTCTGATGCTTCATCATCATCATCTGCTGCTTCAGCTGCCTTCTTCTTTACCTAACAAAGAAGAGCTGAAATCTGACCACAAATGCATTTGCTACACTGTGGCTTTCAAACAGTTCTGTATTTGGTGGCATAGCTTTAAATGGTTAAAAAGACACAAATCAAACTTTTTCAATCCATTGTGAAATAGCTGCAGCATGAAACAGCTGCCAAAGTAGGTCATTTTTTTACAAAAAAAAAAGTAAGGCTAGAAATATCATTTAAAGCTAAAAATGTCTTGCCTTAGTCTAGCTGATGTTACTAAAGAAATCATAAGCAAAGCTTCTAGTTTAAATCATGTCTTAAACTACATCACGTGTGAACGAGTCAAGCCTCATGCACTCATCCTCTTTCTCCTTCAGAGAAAGGAAATCTCTTCTTTGCATACATATTGGTACTAATTGGTGGTGGTAAAGATATGTTATCTGCTCCTAAAATAAATATAAATATCAGTTGTTGGTTTGGTTTTTGTTTTGCTTTGTTGACTCCAGATACAAAGTTGTGTACCAAAACACTCTTCCGAGCCTCAAAAGTCTGTGTATTGCATTGTTTTAGGCCTCAGTCTAGATGAGCAAATGGCCTTTTTTAGCTATGCAGAGATCTGTGATACTATTGGGAACACGTCCAGTATCCACAGGTTATACTAAAGATCTGTCTTTTCAAAATATCATTTATAAATAAGATACTTATGCAAAGAATTAACTAATTCTCCCTCTCTTTGCATAACTGCTCTACAATCCGAAGACTCCACAATGAAGCCCTCTTTTTTTTTTTTAAATAAAGATTAACCAAAAAAATTACAAAAGTACAAAACTATGTATTTTTAACTTATAATAAATACCTGTCTTCCAGAACTCCTCAAAGGCAGGTTGTCTGGGGACTGGTCTGAAGAACATGCCTTTTTTTTTGTTCGCACCCTTCCAGTTGACATTGTATTGTTAGATCTGAAAAAAAGGTAAGCAGTAGTTAAGAAGAAAAAAAAAAATTGGCTGACTTTGCAGAGCTATTTAATTACCTGGACAGTACAGCCACTTTCATAATACCATTTTTGTCAGAGTTGCCTAGATAATAACCTGTTTAGCTTGACTGTTAATCCAAGAGAAAAATGAGAATGAGGCATCTGTGGGGAGAGCAGCAATAATATTATTTTAAACTAAATTCAGAGTTAAGATTAGATCCTTGAGTACAACTTGACCGACTGTCCCAGATCAGCATACGCTGGATTTCAATAATCTGATTTGCGTTACATGAAGGCCTGGACTAGAATTACCATTGGCAAAGAGAATAAGCATCAGCTCATAATGGAAGCTTTTAAATACCACTCTTAGCAACACTCCTCCTCCTAACTACTGATTTATTGGTAGCAGGAGATTTGCAGTGTAAAGCACCTTTGCAAACTATGTACTGAAGAGAGATTTAAGACCAGGTGAATAACCAGTTCCAAGACTTGCACCTCCTCTGATGAAAGCGTATCTGAATTTAACTTCTAAACAACTGTAGTTGCATTGCAATTACAGGTAATCAGAATATTACAAACTTAGTTATTAAACATACCGTAGTAGAAAAGCAAGGTTTTACACCACAGGATAGCTCTACCGTTCTCTCTGACTAAGTGGGTGGGAACAAGCAAAAGATCGCAGTTTAGCATGGGAGCTGGAAAGCGTGGAGTGTGAGAAAGCACGCCACAGAAATATGAAAGCATATTTAAAATATTATTATCAAAGGCATTCTTTTTGCAGGGAATAAAATACAAACATAGAGAGCCTAGAAGAAGAATTAAATCTAAAAGCACTCCCCCACATAGAAAGGAAGTGGAAAGAAAACCCAGCCCTGTACTAGTTCACCGATCTGGGCTTATGCTACAGCACTGAATCATGAATGTGATCTTGTTGTAGTAGCTGTCAGTTCTTAATTTCTGTATTAGAGACGTTTCAAGTCTCTCTCTTGCTACCAGGCTGCATCTTCCTCGTCCCAGCTGACAGGAGCTGACGCGTTAGCGGGAGCAACCTTGGTGGCTTTGCTAAAGGCAAAGGTAACAGGAAGAGAGAGTGATATTTTTACAAAGTTTCATGTGAAGCTGGTGTGAACCAAGTAAAGGGGTGCACTATTCCCCTCTTGTCTCAAGAGGGAAGAAAACGATTTGGGAGGGGAAGGGAAAAATCACGCCATGTTATCCACACACCTGAGAAGAGAAAGGAGTTCAGACAAGCCAATACAAGAATTAACTTCCTTTTCTGTATGCAAAACCAATTATAGGCTAATTGCAGGTTGAAGGGAAGTGAATTACAGTGATCAAAACGCCCAACATCACTCCGCCACAGGTTGCCACTGTATAGGGGTGGACGACTTTGGAGAGAAGAGAAAGGAAAACCGGCCAGTTTCGTTTACAGGAGATTTTCTTGAACTACTACGTAACACAGGAGGAAACGGTAACTTTTTCCCCTGCAGCCTTCCTCCTGGACCAGAGGCACAACACTATATCTCTTCGTATCGCTCTGTTTTCTACCACTAGATAAGAGGCCCTAAACACCGCTGCCTTGGCGGTCTGAGCCCAGGGCTCTGCACTATCTCAGCACGGAGCCAGGTCCCAACAAGCAGGCGCTCGGGTGACTCCCGGCTGATCACAGCCCGCAGCCGCTGCAGGCCCGCGGACCCGAGAAGGTAAAGGGCAACGCAGCTGCTTCATCGCCTACAGGGCGGCTAAGGAAAAGAAGACATGGCAGCTAACATCCACGGAGAAGTTCAGTAAAAACATTTAAGATTTAGACAGGCTTTCTTTTTTGAAGGGCAAAGCCCATTCTTATGGGGTCACGTGCATATTTTTGCTATAGAAAGCACTGGGAGGGGAGAGCGAGTTGGTAGGTTCGACTGTCAGGAGGGCCCTCGTTTCTAGGTGTACACAACTTTGTCCCCGTTTCCCCTCCCAAAAACAAACAGAAAACCAAAAGCCACAGCTTTTTAAACAACAAGCAAACACTGCTTACTTTAGCAAGCTTTATATGACTCCGCGTCCTATAAATATAATCTTTCTGGCTGAGAAATTAAGCCCTTTAAACGAAGAGGGGGGAGAGAGAGAGAGCGACAGAGAGACACATACATAACACAGTGCGTCACATTCGGTAACGTTTCATCCATCTGTAACGCACGGCCTGCGTGCGAACGCGTGACGGGGCTTACATGTACAGCTGACAGCAAGTTTGTCTTTAAAAATAAAAATAAAAAATAGACAAAAAAGAAAAGAGAAAGAAAAAGAGGCACACGGAGGAAACGAGGCGAGCTCGACAAACAAGGGTGCGGGGCACCAAGCGCTGCCGCCCGCACCTTTAAAACTCACCCTGGAGTAGGAGCAAAAAACGCTGGACTCAGCACAGCCTGACAGCGCCCCCTGCCCAAAACAGGCAGGCCCTGGCCGGGGGCGGCAGTCCGTGCCCCTGCCCACATTCCCAGTCCGCCCGCGCCGTGACAGACCGCGGCCGGGGGAGGGGCAGGTCTCGCGTGGGGGGGCATGTC